CGATTAAGATAAAGTATGTCGAATGAAAAAGGGTTTATTAAAAAATATTATTTCTCATAAAAAAATTGTGTGGATCCATAAACTTTTCAATAAGTTATAGCATTATAAAGTTAAATATAATATAAATAATAAAATCGAGAATTTTCACACGAAAATAGCATTCGGTAGCCATTTTCGCCGTGAAGAAAAGTCCAGAGGTCAAATTTTTTTTTTTCAAATTAAAGTACATTACATTAGCTTTAATTTAAGATATATATAAAAGTGTCAGACCTTCCAGAACATTTTCAAAAGTTATGTTGAAAAAGTAAATTTGTTGTGAAAAAGTTGTCATTTTAAATGCCCCCCTGTGGGTAGGTTAAGTGTCAGATTTACATAAAAAATATACTAAATGATAAGTAAAGACATGAAGCATCTATATAAAAAAAATTATATTGATATGTTCATTTTTGAAAAAGTCAGAGCATTTTTAAGTTAAAAATTTAAAAAAAAATTATTTTACAAAAATCGTAATTTTTTATTAACTTTGATGTCAACTTTCACCACGAAGACAAGTCCAGAGGTCAAATTTTTTTTTTTCAAATTAAAGTATATTACATAAGCTTTATTTTAAGATATATATAAAAGTGTCAGACCTTCCGGAACATTTTCAAAAGTTAAGTTGAAAAAGTTAATTTTTTGTGAAAAAGTTGTCATNAAGTTGAAAAAGTTAATTTTTTGTAAAAAAGTTGTCTTTTTAAATCTCCCCCTGTGGTCAGATAAAGGGTTAAATTTACAAAAAAAATATACAAAATGATAGGTAAGGACATCAAGCATCTATAAAAAAAAATTATATTGATATGATCATTTTTGAAAAAGGTACGGCAGTTTTTATTAGAAAAAATTTCGAAAATTAGCGATTTTTAAATTTGTAATTTTTTTGGAGATTTCCCCCATTTACGGGGAACGAGGGAAATTTTTTCAATTTTGAAGGGTAATGTCTTTGACTAGATACGATTTGTGATTTTTTGACGTATCGTTGAAAGAAATCCGTTCGGTATGAGCTGAGAAAAAGTGATAACAGACACAAAAAAAAAACACATCATAGTAAAACTAATACCTTCTCAGCTTCGCATCGAAGCTAAAAAAATCGTGTATCGATATTAGATTTTGCTATTATCCCATGTTTATTGTTATTAAATTATTAAACTTTATTAATCAAATTAAAATTTCAATCAAATTTTTGTCAAAAATTATATGTTTTTTAATTAGCACTTCATTTATATACTTCTACATTTTATTTGTTATATAATAAAAGTTATTCTGATTAAAAAGTGGGATTTTGAGTATCTCATAAATTACCAGACTCGCCAAATAAATAACTTCACCCGCTTTTTTAGCTTTGTAACAATCAAGGACCTAGTAGTCATTATATTTTTATTCCACATTTAAAAAATAGTTCCGGCGGAACTATTTTCATGATTTCGCCCAAACAATCTAGTTATTCTATTGTAAAATTATCAAAAAGTTCGCCTACGTTCCATACTCGAGATGATGATCTGTGTATTAAAATGCTTGTAACTCAATGAGTACTTGTCCTAAAATCGATCCATAACATTTTATGCCAAAAAATGGGTAATAAAAAAATTAAAAAAAAAAATACAAAATATTTATTTCTCTATTATTAATGATAAATAATTTAAAAATATACTTTTTGTGTATTATAAGAAGACAATTAAAAATAAAAAAAAATGTTTAACAAAATGATAATTGTATTAAAAGTTATAAGGTTTATCGGTTAGGGCGAGACACTACTTGTTTATAACGCAAAGAAAATTCTCACAATCAGTATCTTCTCGAGTTGAATTAGAGTATCATCATCTCAAATAAAGTTGGATTAACCTCATCTCAAGCTAAGGTTGGAATATCAACAACGAAAAAAACAGAGGTAGGAAAAACTCTTATTTTCATGTTTTGTTGAGTTTAAACTTGCTATTAAAAAAGATATATTATAATAAGGATTTGTGTTGTGCGGGTGTTTCTTGAAAAAGCATCATTTCTGAGTTGGTTTGCACTAAAGTATTTACCTTATAGTAGTAAAGTAGTGTTTAACACTAAAATTGGTTGTGGAGTATTGTAAATTCTTTAACAACAAACAATAACAACAGCTGTCAAGTACTCTAATATTTTTAAATTAAATTTAAGAAAATAGAAGACGTTCGAGATGTGAATATGATCAAGTTCAAAAAACGATTGATAATTTACCGAAGAGGAACAGTCAACGTATAGATTAGAGTTTGAGGAATTGTATTTTAAGGCATAGCGGAAAATATGCAAATGAAAGGCAAAGTAACCTGGGTTATAAGGGGAGACGATGAAAGGGCCGTTTGGAACGATGGCCATGTTTGAGGTTCATTTAGGGATGCAATGAAGCTCTTCTAAATAAAGGTGCCAACCTAGCGCGTATCTTATTTAAAATGGGAACGGTATTATGTTATTTTTAACAGTCTAATACATAAGAACAATTGTCGTCACCCGTGAAAAAATTCTACTATTTGCGTTCAATTGTAATCGGTTGCATTTGTTTAAATGCGTAGAGACGACAGCTGGTAATTCTTCAGCAGTACGTTGACCGATCGGTATAGCAATAGCAAAATATTAGTACAAACACATGCAAATGCGATTGTGGGTCGCTGTTACCGGTAAATAGGCGACTAAATCGTGGCAATTTGACACGGCCCGTAATAGCGCACTATTAATTTATTGTGAATTAGCACGTTACCCGGTCGTGATTATCAGCTGTCCACCGTCGCACTCGTCAGTGTTGACTATAACACCAAGTTCGTCCTGTCCGGTGGTCGGTAGACAGGACTGGCCAGGGGGTTCAGCACCGCGAGACACGTC